CGGAGGACTAAAATGGAAGTCATAGGGCTGGTTTAAGCCCTCTGGAGGCTTCAGGGAACTTCAGGAGGCTTTCCTGAAGCCTCCGGAGGACTAAAATGGAAGTCATAGGGCTGGTTTAAGCCCTCTGGAGGCTTCAGGGAACTTCAGGAGGCTTTCCTGAAGCCTCCGGAGGACTAAAAACCACCCTATGAGCAAACGGGAAGTCCGTTCCCGAACTTTTTTGCGCTCCTGAGGCTTCAGGGAACTTCAGGAGGCTTTCCTGAAGCCTCCGGAGGACTAAAAACCACCCTATGAGCAAACGGGAAGTCCGTTCCCGAACTTTTTTGCGCTCCTGAGGCTTCAGGGAACTTCAGGAGGCTTTCCTGAAGCCTCCGGAGGACTAAAAACCACCCTATGAGCAAACGGGAAGTCCGTTCCCGAACTTTTTTGCGCTCCTGAGGCTTCAGGGAAGCTCCTAAAGCCTCCGGAGGGGGGCAGGGGAGGCTCTTCTCGCCCTCCCCGGGCTCCTATAAAGGCTCCTGCCATAGGTTCACCATCCCGGCTCTAGCAAGTGGAAAATCCAACATTAGAAATTACGTTTGGTCCAGCCATTTTCCCCCTATAAATAAATACCCGGGCAACACCGGATTATCAGCTAGTGTACAATATTTCTTCCTATTATTTAAAGTAAAGGCCAAAATCAAATCAAACAAACACAGAGTAAAAATTTCTTGATGCTAAAAGCAAGAGTGGTGGGTTTTTTTGTAATACGCGTCACTATTTACCTAGATGGGCTGTCATCATGAATCTCACGGAACGACAGAAATCGTGTATTATCCATATGGGGAGGCGCGTGGACAGATCAAGTAGTAATAGGTGGCCGCCCCCTGTGCCAACCCACAATGCCGTATTTTTCTGAAGGCAGAGGCTCTTCACTCTTCCCGGGTAAACGAGTTTCTGTTTGGATTCCGTGTTCAGTTCTGGCACCTCCGCTCTGAAAAAGAGGAGAGCCTGTCATGTCTGAACCGTGTCGGATTTTTCATGGTTTTCCCCCTTTGTGTTTTTTAATACTTTGATAAACTAATAAAAAAAAGTTAAGTGGTAAACTCTGTCAGATCACATTCTTCCATTTGGAAGTTCAGTTCAGTTCAAGTTAAGATATCTTATATCTTATCTTAGAGATAAGATATAAAAGATAAGATAAAAAGATAAGATTTAAGATAAGATAAAAAATAAGATATAAGAAGATCAAAGTTAAAAGATGATAAAAGATATGATATAAGATAAGATACAAGATATGATAAGATACAAGGTAAGATAATAAGATAAGATAGATAAGATAAAAGGTTATAAGATAAGATAAGATAAGATAAGATAACTTTATTATCACTTTTTTTAATGTGAGCTCCGTGGCTGATGTGAAAAATGAAATTCTGTTGCCTTCTCTTTTTTAGAGAAAATATATATCTACCCAAACACTTACATAACAACATATATACACATGCTATGTACATACAGTACGTAAATATATATCTCCACACATACATAGATACAGATACGTAGGTAGGTAGGTAGGTAGGTAGGTAGGTAGGTAGGTAGGTAGGTAGGTAGGTAGGTAGGTAGGTAGGTAGGTAGATAGATAGATAGATAG